TGTGCTGCTCCGGCCGGAAGGGCATGGGCGGGCCTGGCCGCTGCACGGGGACGGGCCGCGAGGTGTCAGGTGTGAATCGTGGCGTGGAAGCTGCAGTGGGAGATAAGGGACGTGTTTTACTTGGAGTGTACTCAAGCACGGAGGTAGAGGTTAGAGGTTTGTGGAATCTTTCCTAGAGCTGTTACAGCTTTGACTGGACAAGGCCCTAAGCAGTGTGATCCGAACCGACCCTGGTTTGAGAGGGAGTTGGAATTACTTAAAATAATTACTATATTATTATATATATAGTAATGTATGTTGATGGAAGGCAAAAAAAAAAATGCTTTGAGAATCCTGAAATGAGCAGTGAGGGAGGCTTTGGGAGTACCCTGCTCAAGCACCTCTCTGGAGTGGTGGATGGTGCCGTGGGTTGTCAGCGAGGCAGTTATGGCTCCTTCTGGTGAGGGAACATGTTAGGAGTAAGAGGGGCATCCTGGTGTTGTGCTTTAGGATGGGGAGCAGAGAATGGATGATGGTCTCTGTATAGCTAAATGCTGAAGTGTAAACAGGCCTAACTGAAAAATAAATGAAGTTTGAGGCACAAGTCACAAAGAGTGTTAAAACTAGCAGCTATGTCTCAGTGGTACTTTGGCAGATTTATATGTAATAGTTGTATTCAGAGGAGAAAAACATAATGCAAAGAGGCCCAAATTATCCTTTTTTTTTTTCCTCTATCTTAATTAAGAAGGAATTCCAACCATGTAATCTTATTTTGTGGGGGGTATTTATAGGGATAAGCCTCATGTGAAGTGGTGAAATAGAGCTCTGGAACAGATAGATTGGACATTGCTGCATTGCTCACAGTAGCAGAATCAGTTTGTGGCCAGTAAGTTTCTGCCTTTCAAATATTTGGAAGCAAAAGAGTATTTTGACAAAATAGCACTGTGTTGCCTCTCTGAATTGGCCAGTACTAGAGACATATTCTTGGGGCACATTAACTTGTTCTGACACTGTGCAGGTTTTCTGGTCAATTTTAGGGATTTTCTTACATGCCTTCCCCACATGGAAGCGGGCAACCTAAGCACTAATTAATTAGAAGTGAAGAAGGACCTATTTATTTTCGTGTTTGTTTTTGCTGCTGCACACAACTGAAATGTGGCATACATGATGGTAGTTGCGTGTCTTCCAGGTTGCTCTAAAACCGTATTGTTTTAAAATCACTTTTTTTTTGCTATGTTATTTGAATGAGCAGAACAGAATTAGACAAAGTATAAGGAAATCCTTCATTCAAGACTAAAAAGACTACTTTGACTTTTTTTTGAGGAAAAATCCGATTCCATTTTTTGTATTAATACCTTATTTTGTATGTTTTTGAAGGACTGTTTTGTCTTCATAATGTTTGGGGACTTATTTGAAGAAGATTTTTCCTTTATCTCCAACAATCAATGTGGAAAAGGGAAGTCAAAGCACAGAGATGCAGAGCCACCAGCTCCCAGGGAGTTCACCAACTTAAGTGGAATCAAAAATCAGGGTGGGACCTGCTACCTCAATTCCCTTTTACAGACTCTGCTATTCACACCAGAGTTTAGAGGTACTATATTCAAAAACTTTTTAAAGTAGTCTTGGAATTGATTTTGCCTAGTGACATGTATTGCTAGCTCTTTACTAGAAAACATAATGAATCCACATTTTTTTTACTGACTGTTCTGTTTCAGTTTATCTGAAGTAAGTGTAGATTACACAGAGCTATTGGTCTGTAAAATTACTTTTGTCACTTCAGTTTGAAGTATGAGTATTGTAAGCCTTTAATTTTCTTAAAAGTAGACAGGCTACCGCTTGCATAAATAAGAGAAGTTATTGCTGTCCATCATGTGTCATTCATTTTTAAATGCAATCATTGCAGTGCCTGAAAATATAAGTACTTTTCTGCCTAAATCCTTTCTGCTTGCTTATACTTCATTGTTTAGCTTGAAGCAGCTGTGTGGCCTAAATGATGTTTCGAAACATTTTTTTTAAAATTTTAGTTTGTTAAAAAGTGTGTGCGACTGCCACTAGCTTAGATTCCTTAAAGAAAAAATACTTTGATACTGTGTTATGGCGTTCTTTTTTTCTTTTTAATTGCAGAAGCACTGTTCTCTCTAGGACCTGAAGAACTTGGGACTTTGGATGATAGCAGTAAACCAGATGCAAAGGTGTTAATTTTGTTTACTTAGTATTTGCTGTTTGTTGATTCAAAAAAAATGTTTTGCTTCACATGAAGCTTCTCATGAGAATAAAAATCTAATATTTATTCTGAAAGAAAATTTGGTTGGCAGATGCTTAATTTTGCATGTAGATGTAAGCTTTCAGGGCCGTAACTTTTACTGTAAAAGATATCGAGCTCGTTCTTGTTGAATTTGATAGCCAAGTTCTTTTGCTTTCACATGGTGTAGGAACAAAGGGGTTATCTGCCCAGTGCTTATCTATTTTTCTCTGTGCTATGACTTACTTGTTATTAGTAAAAGCACTGAACATGGGTGTGCAGCCTGGTTGCCTGCAGTGATGCTCTTTGAAGGGTTAGCAACCCACCCATGGGCAAGATACCACAGGATTGGAATTTGATCTTTGCTTAAAAAGTGCTTATTCATGTTGACTACAGAATTTAATTATTTATCTCTTAGGTTAAAGTCACAAAAGTAGCTGCTTGGAAAATTGTTTTTCTTTTGTAAATCTTTTTTTTTAAGATAAAAATAGACTACTGATCAAACTTGTTGACATTAACCCTTCTCCTTCCCATCTCCTCCCATCCACAGCACCCAATCCTTTCTCAAAAAAGCAATAAATCCTGAAAAGTCTATCTGTCTTAATGTTTTATGTTTGGATTCTTAGGGTTTAGCATTATGAAAAATATAATAAAAACTTCCTTTATACAATGGTAGTGGTTTAATTTTAATCCCTATGGCTTTGTTAAGAATTTACGTTCTTTGACTATAGTAGGTGACTAGGTAAGATACTGTAGATTTTAGGAGTCAGGCTTGATTAATATTTTATAGAGCTGGAAGGTGAATATAAAAGCCATAGACAATGTTTGTTTCTTATAATTTCTGCACTAAATTATATTTCACTTTATTTAAATGATGGATTTAACATGCCTTTCTGATCTGTTTTTTTTTTGTTTTTTTTTTTGTTTTGTTTTGTTTTTTTTTGAGGTAGCTTTTTAGTTGAGTCAACTGTTACTGTTTAGTTTGCACCTCTGCATGAAGTACATGTCAATTGTTTCCAGTAAGCAACAGAAAAAAAAGTTGTTCCTTTAATTTTAAAGTGACCTCTGTAACTTTGGTTTAGTGGCAGTATACCCAGATATCTCATGTGAATTATATTTTATATATTTGTAGCAGAAGAAACATAACTGAATTAAAAATGACAAATAATAGTAATTGTCTCTAATGACACTTATTACTTGGGTTACCATTGAGGCATCTCTTTGCCACACTTTATGTTATTTTTAAGAGGTCAGGCAGAAAAATGAGCAAAGCAGATGGCACTTTTTTTTTTTTCAAGTTTTCTTTTCCTCATGCAGGAAATGAGGCAGCATGATGTGCAGGAATTAAATCGAATTCTGTTCAGTGCTTTGGAAACTTCCCTTGTTGGGACTTCAGGTCATGACATTATTAACCGGTTATACCATGGGATTGTTGTCAACCAGATTGTCTGCAAAGAATGCAAAAATGTCAGCGAGAGACAGGTAAAGTGCCTTTTCTGTTTTTTCATCAGAATTTATTCAGCCTGTTTGTGATATTTCTGTTGGCTTAAATGTGGGTTTTTTTTGTTAGTTAACTGCTATTTAAAACAAACAAACAAAAAATTTTTGCATGTCAGTGTTCTACCTAGAATTTAAGCAGGGTTGGATATATGGGTAGGGCAGTGCAGACTTAAAATTATGCATGACTTAAGCACGTCTTGGCTGGCATTTTTCTAAACCACCTACATTGGGATGTGTGAAGTGACTCATGGGTGAGCAGAGGTGGGAAAAGCATTACTGCATCCTCTGAGTTGCAAAGTGTTGCCTTTAGTAGATGCATTTAGCAGAGAGGTGAGCAGTGAGGTAACAAGAGTAAAACACATCTTTTCACCTTTTTTCCTCTTGCTCTTTTTAATTAAGAAAAAAATCTTACTTAGAAAATAAAAATGATTTAATTCCTATTCTGTGGATATGTGTTTTGGCCTGTTAACAGTGAAAGCAAAATGAATGATTTCATTAAGTGCAGCAGATCTGAGGAGAGTCTTTCTAATGTACCATTAACTTGCATTGCTTATTACTTAATATTCTTGTTGTTGTGTCTCTGTGTAGGAAGATTTCTTAGACTTAACAGTAGCTGTGAAAGGTGTTGCTGGCTTGGAGGAGGCACTGTGGAACATGTATGTGGAAGAAGAATACTTTGAAAATGATAACTTGTATCGGTGTGGAGCCTGTGATAAACTTGTTGAAGCCTCAAAGGTAATGTGTGTTTGGTGATTCCCTGTACTCAGTTTGGCGTTAGGTAGGAGCTTAGCTTATGTTGGTGTGTCTGCCCCATACGTACAATATGAGAAAAGCTTTATCTTTAATCAGACAGCGTATAAGAGGGTGTCAAAAACTGTCCTCCTTTTTAATCCACCGTAGCCATGTCAAAAAAGTTAATGTGACTCATTTCTTGACTTGATATTGTAGTCTTTAATCTAGTCAGTGGTAGAGAGATGAGATGTAGTTACTATGTAGTTCCTGCCTCTTTCTCATACCTTTGATGTACCTGGCTTGGGGCATTTCAGACCTAAGGCTAAAAGATAAGCTAGGGCACGAAGAAAGCCTTCATGCAGCAGGTAAAACCATATGAGAATCATCTCACGAAGAAGAGGAATGAGAGTGAAAAGTAGTTCTCGTCTCTCATTTCAAACAGAAATGAGATCTGTTGATTTGGGTACTGTGTCATTTCCCTATTGCTGAGCAGGCTCTTACAGTGAGAAAAAACATACAGAAATAGCTGTAGACCTGTTATATAGTGCTAGAGCATTTAATGGGAAGGTAGATGTTTCAGGTGAGTGTATTTATGTAAGGAACCACTCAAGTTTTCTAATACCTCCAGCTGTGGGTGTGTTCTTGTGGTGCATGCCTGTGTCATTGCTGTTTGCCATATCCTCTCTGGATGAGTGTCTCTGCTACTTGTCATGTGCTAAACCAGTAGCTCCCATCTATGGGCACTGCCAGGAGTTATCCTTTATCTGAAAGGGCAGGAATGAGGAGGAGGAAAATCCAGACAGAAGAGTCATTTCCTTGTGGTCAGAATACTGAATGTGAAAGTCTTCTCCTGACTGCAGCTAGAAGATGCTTTTGAAGAAAGCCTATCAGTGAATCTGCTGAGTTGACCCACTCTCTCATTATCTTCTAGTTGATGATTTATTGTTTACACTTGATGTGTGGTGTGCAAAGTACAGTCCCTTACCTCTCCAAGTTGGTCTGGGGAAGGCCGGGGTGAGGCAAGGACAGCCTTGGGTGAGGGGGCTTCTGCTTTAAGGCTGCAGCAACAGAGGGCAGTTGAGGATGGCACAACCGCTGCCCTGGGCTCCGTGGTCCCCCTGGCACGCTGTGCATGATCCCAGCATGACCGCTCTGAGCGGCAGCACTGACAGCAAGTGAGGTGCTAGCAGGTTTGTCTCAGCTTTCGGAAGGGATTTGGGTAAAGGTGTGAATAATTAGGCACACCTAGCTTCTTTCAAAGGGAAGGGTGCTCTGTGATCAGCCTGGCCCATCTGTACGTGCCGTTCGCTCCCTCTAGTATTTTGTGGAGCTTTGAATGTCTCGTGGCATCCTTTTTTTCCGCACCCCCCCCACACCTTCTTTTGTCTTGGCTGCTGAAGAAACTAATAGTTGAAGTCAACTTTATCAAATATTTAAGATCATGATTCTGAAATTGGAAGAGCATGCAAAGTCCTTCGTACCACTAAGCATTAAGGTCTTTACAGCAGGCACAAAAGAGATACTTAATTCTAGGAGGTTTCTCAACTGTAGTGTCTCTGGCTTCAAAATGGACAATTGTTGGAGACATTGGAAAGGCTCAAGAGCACTGTCCTCGATTCTGCCCTTGCATTCAGAGGATATCTGGTTTCACTTTGCACTCCACACCTTAATGAATTAAGATCATCTCACTTTCTCTTCCCTGAATGTTGTCATCTCCCATAAATGAGGATGGATTCAAATTCTTGCTTGTGTGTTCTCTGCCTAGTCTAGAGCTTTTCTGGGATACACCAATGCTTTCCAGCAAGGCGTGACTTATTATTCATTTATCATCGCCCACAGACTTGAGTCAAGATCTTTTTCTTTGAGCAGCCATGAAGCTCTTAATACACCACAGAGGCTTCTTTCTTCTGGTGATGTTCTTCAGAGCATTTCTGTTTTATGCTGAAGTAGCCCAACAGTCTTTCACTGTATAACAGGCTACAAATAAATGTGGGAGTGATCCTTCTTTCTGGACATTATGGATGTGTCAGATGTAGTTATATCACAGATAAGATCATTTCATGCTTCTGCATTTGAAACTGCAGAGCCAGCAAGCGGAGATCAGGGCTCTTCCAGGTGTCAGAATCCCAAGGAACCATAAGGCTCCTAAAGGGGCATTGGATCAGGCCTCAGGTGGAGTACAGTGCCCTTTCAGGAAGAGGGGAGCAATAGAGAAAATGGTCTTACATGGTGGTTTCCTTGCAGCTGGGAGCAAGCACTTTGGCTGCAAGGCTGGTGGGCTGAGCTTCATACATAGCCACACTCAGGTTTCTTCAGGGGGCCCCTAGCCCAGGGGCTGATTTGAGTGCCCATCTGTTTATCTGGGAAGGTCAAAGCCACCATTGCTGTCGTCCTTATGTGCCATTCACCAGGAGTTGAATGTATGTAGTCTATACTGGATTGCTGGGATTGGTGCAGGCCTGGTGATGGCTGGGGCTGAGCAATGGGCCAAGAGCAAAGTTGCTGTGAAAATGCTAGCCTGGCTTTGCAGGAAAGTGTAACCCCAGTGGTATGAAGGCATTGCTGCCTGATAGAAAATTCAAGAAAACCCCCTTGCAAAGAATTAATGGGGCAAAGAAACAAGTACTGCCTGAAATTTCAGCAGTGTCCGTCTTTCCTTCCTTGTAGGAGGAGGAAGTATGGGACTTTTGGGGCATTCTTAGTCATGCCTCCCTGGTTGTACCAAAGCTTTCCTAGAAAAATGCTGTATTTTATTTGACTATAGAGTGATGGAAGCACTAATCTTTATAACTGTGTACTTACAACTTTTTTTTCCTTTTTATTGTTTTACAGTCAGCTAAGCTACGTAAGTTGCCTCCCTTTCTCACCATTTCTCTCCTGAGATTTAACTTTGACTTTGAGAAGTGTGAAAGATACAAGGAAACTAGTTGCTATACATTCCCTAACCAGATAAATTTGAGACCTTTTTGTGAGCAGGTTTGTACTGTTATGTTTGTATAAGCTTCTGTGTACTTGGCAAGGAAGGATGCCTCAAGGACAAGCTATTTTTCAGTTTGCAGTGTGTCCAAACAAGGTATTGGACAAACATCTGGGGTTCTCCTCTGTCCTTAATTCCTGTGTTGTTTTTTCGAAAACGTTTCCAAAAGATTGCTTTTTAACGAAGTTGGAAGCACCTTGTAGCGATACAAGGTGGAGAGACAATAAGGACGTAAAAGTTAACTTAACACTTGCTTGAAAGAAAGATTTATCCTCTGAAAATTGAAGTTTATTTTTTATTAACCATGTCTGGTATTACCATGTATCATTTTAGCTGTGTATATTGTATATACCTGTGGCTATTGTGTCTTTTTTAGGCTTATCTTTTTGTTCCTATGTATATGTATATGCATGTCTCTATATGTGTATATATATTCGATTATTAACTGAACTATACTATTCCCTGATGCCGGTTTTGATCCTTGAAGTTAATAAGGAATATACTTAATAGACACACTGTTACTGAAAAGGGAATTTTTTCTTATTGACATCTTCCAATGCAAACTTGTAATTTTCTCAATAGTTGTGTTTGAGGAAGCCTTCTCCCAGTGGGTTTATGTAAATAAATACATTGTTTGTTTTCTCTATTTTAAAAAAAATAAGCTTATGAACCCACATGTTGGGTTCTTCTGGCTGTTATAATGTTAATAAATATCTAGGCTTTTTTGAAACATACATGAATTTTTAGTGTTGATCAAAATCATGCTTAAAAAGTTGCTTAGTAAGCCTATTATTTAAAGCCAAAACGTCTTTATCCACGTTTTGCTTTTAGTCTATGCCTGTGTTCGTACTTTAATCTCCGCATGTGTAAACACACACAGAGAAATACCAGCAGCTATGCTGCTGGTGTAAAGCTCTCCTTGTGTGAAAGACTTGCAGACTTCATATTTTTTCATACTAATCTCCTTCTCTTGTTTTTTAAAGGCTGAACTGGATGATTCAGAGTATATGTATGAGCTCTTCTCTGTTATTATACACAAAGGTGGCTGCTATGGAGGACACTACCATGTTTATATCAGAGATGTGGATGAATTGGGGAATTGGCAATTGCAAGTAAGTCGTAAAAGTTTATTTTTCTTAATAGACCTCATTTTTCAAAATGGAGAGCATTAAGATTTTGTGGCCCATTTTGTCAGACTGCCAAACTAGCTCACATTGTTGGACTCTCCTCATTCTCAATATGATATCTTTGCTAACAGCTTAATTTTGATGGACACAGGTTAGCTGTTTGTATATGTTTAAAAAAAAAGAAAGGCCTTTTCCACTAAAGGAAATTGATACTAGATATTTTCTTATGACAATATCCAGGCTGTAGCAGGAGATAGAGGCAACTTATAAGGAGATTCTGCCTTTCCACAGCTAACTTTCTGCCATGCACAGAGGTTGGGCAGATATTCTGTCATACAGCTGTAGTATGGAAGCCATCTCTGTAAAGAACCACATGCATGAAATATACACAGCTTGCTCTGAAGCATCTGCTTGGATTTCTTCAAACCACATGCATGAAATATACACAGCTTCTGAAGCATCTGCTTGGATTTCTTCTCATTTGTGAATTGTACCTAATGTTAGCACAGATTATATCAGAAAACTGCTAGGTGTGTTTGAAACAAGAGTATTGGTGAATCCTACTGTTTTTTTTCTTATACAGGAAGAAAATAATATGGTTGAAGATAAAATTTTAAGAGATAAAGAAAATGATAAAGATGTAGAAAACCCACTGGCAGTGTTGAAAGGGATTTTATCAGAGGTATGGTATGTAAAGAGTTCATTGCTTTGATTTTGATGTTAGTGAACCCAAAAGAAGGGGTTGAAGTGTGTAGGAATGGGCAGGTTGAGCACAGAACTCTTCTGAACTTATTTGAAGTGTAAAAAATCTTAAGTTGATTTTACTACTTAAAATGCCACATATCAAAAAAGGCTATTTTTTGAGTAAGTTGAATTTTAAGTAGCTTAGCTAAGCTTTTGCAAAAGGTTACGTTACATCGGCCTACTAAAGAGGAATGATTTATGCTCTTCAGAGTTGGGTTATTTGCAGGTGATCTCTTGACATTTGTAGCCATCCTTTTCATCTTCCTAGTTTTTAACTTCTCTGTCTCTGTAGGAAGAATCTAAACAAATGCCTGTCGATCAGTTAGGGCAGAAATTATTGGAGAAAAAAGGGTTATCCTGGAACAAGAAATACCGAAAACAACACGGGGCGTTTCGAAAGGTAATGTACCTGCATGTTTGTTTCTCTTAAATTTATTACAAGGATGCTAGTTAGTTAAAAGGATGTTAGCACGATCCTGTGCTATGTGCTAGTTGGACTAGATGATCTCCTAAGGTTCCTTCCAGCCTCCACCATTCTGTGATGCATCAAAAGCACATTGATCAGTGCAGAGTTTGACTTATTGCAGTAGGACTGTTCAGCTGGGTTGTCTGTTTTTTTTTGTTGTTTGTATCAAATGAGTTTTTGATTATGGTTAAAACTGGAATTCAGGGTTTCGTTGGGCACCAGTGCTGCTTGAAGTGTCTGTGCTGCTAAAATAGAGGTAGAGATCAGAGTGGATAAGCTGAAAGGATTTTAAGTTCTTCAGATGCAACAATGTGTAGTGTTAATGTAGCTGACCAGGTATTTTTGGGGTACAACTCAGCAGACCAGATGTTAACCTGAGATCCCTGTTTGCTAAATGTTGAGAGGGGTAGCAGAGGATTGGAGGGCTAAGCTAGTTGGGGTTGGTTCTCTCCTGTGTGTCTAATAAAGTAGAAGCTTTTTATTGTCTTTAGAACATTTCTTTCCTAGGTTTCCTTTCAGGAATCAGAAAGTGTGCACTTCTAAGAGGTATTTAAAAGGAATCAGTATTTCAAGTGAGCCAATATCCTTAATGTAGCCTGATTTCTTAGTAATGCATGTAGGCCAAAACCAGTAAATTAACAGTTTCTTGCATGTTAGTTTTCAGTTATGCACAAAGGAAAACTTGAAACTGGAAAATATCATGCAAAGAAGTTGGTGGAGGAAGGAGTTAGTTTTTTTGTTGTTGTTTTTTTCTGTGTAAAATTGAGGAAATATAAAAGGAAGCATCATAAAAAGCAAGTTTTCCAAAGACACAGATGTTGGAAGGGCTGGGGTTTGTTATAAGTTTGAGGACAAATCTGGTGAGGCAGCTGATGCAATTTGCTGTGTTTAATGCTGGATATTTTCCAGTCCTAGAAAGCTGTTTCTTCACCTTGTCCTTGCTTTCCTTTTAGTTTTTGCAGAATCATCCCCAGATATTTCAATTCAGTCCTGATGAAAATAAGGTTGGTCTTAAGGAGAAGTATCATAAGCTTCCATTTAAGTCAGATTCTCAAGGACAAGATTTGCAAAGCCCTCCTCAGAAGAATAACATCCAATGGAGTTTAGAAAAAGCATCTACAGTGCGAAGGGACACTTCTGCTGGTTGCCACTGGTTTGATCTGAATGATTCAAAAGTCCAGCCAATTAAGGAGAAAGATATTGAGAAACAATTTCAGGGTAAAGAGAGTGCCTACATGCTGTTTTATCGGAAATCTCAATTGAAAAGACCGCCAGAAGGTACAAAATATTCATCTTTATATTTTTTCTTTATTGACACTTGTTTTGGAGGATGTAGCGAGTTGGGCATTTGTGTCCTTGTATGGAAGATAGTTGTCTGTCTTTTCATCAGTGAAAAAAGGGTTGACTAGAAAGGGTAAAAGGTTTAGCCAGAGATTAAAAGGCTACCTCTACAGAGGCAGCTGGCACAGTTAACTGGCTATAGGTGACACAGACTGTCTTTCCAATACTCTTATCAAATGCTAGCACATCAAAATTGTTGCTGATAACATTCCTGTTTCCTTTTCCCTTAAGAAAAAGCTGATGGAATCATGAAAGGAGGTTAAAGAACTTGTTTTTGTATCATCTTGCAATTTATCCTCTGTATTGCAAAAAGATGTGATGTTATTGCTCAGAATCTCCATAAACAAAATTTCAAAATAACCATACTGGAATGTGTCATCTTGATCACTTCTCTTTGCCAAAGCATGTTTTATGCAGCTGAGACTAACCTATATTACTTGCTGCAGCTCGTGGAAATCCAAGGTACCGAATTCCTGAACACCTTTTGAATGAAATGACTGCTGCTAATACTGAGCTGCAAAAAAAGAGGTGTGTTAATTTAGCTGTGCTAACATCTTGAACATTTACTAGTCTACAGTTCTTTAAAGAGATT